CCCCCTCAGACACATCCAGAAATATGCTCCCGATTTTAAAGATTAATATTTCCGCGAATTTTTAAGTGAAATACAACTGTAATATATCAAAATCTAAGTTAGTCCTTCCTCCATTTGATGCAAGTTGTTTCTCTTTAAAAGCTTTACTTGTTTAGACGTTATTACGAATCAATTATTTGGGACACCCGGTATGTATATATATATATATATATATACATACCACACCAAATATATATATATATATATACATACCACACCAAATCACATATTCTACAAGCTGCCACAAAAACACACATATATATATATATATATATATATATATATATATATATATATATATATATATATATATATATATATATATATATATATATATATATCTAGAAGAACAAATAAAACGAACAAAAAATGAATGAACCTCGATTCAAACCTTTTAACGAATTATGATATTCTTATTTTCTCACTTAATTTCCGATTACTATGTCTATAGATATTTTGTCTTCATACAGCATCATACCATATGAAGCGAGACGAAATGCGGTAACAGTTCCAGTGAAGAAACAAGGAAGGCTAAATAATGCAGCTGGTAGGTAGTTCATTGAACCCACCTCCCCCAGTGGTGTAGAAATGAAAAGATAGCAAAAGGGACTCTCAAAAGGGGGGGGTGGTTGACAAGGCATGGGAATGACAAGACGTGGATGGTGAACATGATAAGCATGGCAATTCTTCAATTAGTGGTTTATAACTTGAAATAAATTATTCCGATATATACCAAAATTGATCAAAACTAATTCATGTTGGAGCCACATAAATATTCTTATGGTAGGACACAGCTTACTAAAGTCGTTACTGCATTATTTTACTTTTCAGAAGTGTGTATTAGGATAACACAATTAAAATAGAGACAAAATAAGATAGTAACATGATTGTGAAATTATCACAAAAGACTACAGCTAATGCCTTGTTGCTGTAGCTCCCTGTAGTGGTCAACTGTCGCACCTTGAACCCTGACCGAAGCTCGATGGACGCGGGTATCATCGTACCAGATCTGGCTGGATTCATGCCTGATTTTGTAATATTTTTGTTATATTTCTATTTGCAGATTATGTTGTAGCAAAGATAGATGATTTGGTTAACTGGGGAAGAAGGGTGAGTGTACTAAATTATCTTTCTAAGGGCCTGTTCATATGGGCAGAAGTTATCCTGGTTAGCGACAAAACTTTTCGACAAGTTTACAAGCGAGATCTCGTCTTGGTATGAAAATAATATGAAAAGTTACAGTGCGTTCATATGAGACAAAAAGTTTTCCCGTGTACCGAGATCTCGCTTGTTGACAGGCGAGATTTCGGTGACCGGGATAATGTTTTTCCCATATGAACACAACTTTCCCGCTTAGTGGGATAGCTTTCTGTCGTGTCAGCAACTTTTCAATTCAATTGATGTTCAGTGCACGTCACAGCCGAAAACTTTACCCGGTAAGCGGGATAAAGTTTCTCCATATGAACAGAACAAAAGTATTTGGCTAGTCGAAAAGTTTTCTCGTTAACCGGGATAACTTTTGCCCATATGAACAGGTCCTAAGCTACAGATTATATCTTAAAAAAAGGTGATTTAGAATTAATGTTTGTTTTCTTCAACAGAGTTCAATGTGGCCAATGACTTTTGGTCTTGCTTGCTGTGCAGTTGAGATGATGCATTTTGCTGGACCACGGTAATATAATTATATGCGACTATATGTTAAAGATGCGGTACATTCCGACTGCGCATGTTAAAGATTTTATTTATTCTGCAAAGCTTGATTGTTGTGTCTTGATAATTTATTATACTCTAGAATCATGAAAATATAAATAGTTGTCGAATAAAACTCAATATTTTGGATACCGAAATGTAAACAAAGCCTTTGTTTACATACGGACTGTGCCGCATCTTTAAGGGATATTGTTTTCTGAATATAATTAAACTGTTGTCGTTGTTTTGTTATTGTTATTGTTGTTGTTGTGGTCATCGTCGTCGTCGTCGTTGTCGTCGTCGTTGTTGTTGTTGTTGTTGTTGTTGTTGTAAATCTCTCATGTTTGCAGCTTGATAATTGGTAGTTTTGGTTTGGTGTGCAACCTGCTAAAGCTCTGGGGCCGGTTGTACGAAGGTCGGATAGCGCTATCCACCGGATAGTGATTTTTTCAACCTTTGTAAAATGCTTGAAAAACTGTGAAACTACGGATATAGACGACACAAGAAGTATAAAAAACCTTTAATTTATAAATACTAAACTTTAATACGAGTTATACCAATCAACGACTGATTTAACGAAGCTTGAAAAAAAATCACCATCCGGTGGATTAGGCCGTGGGCTGTTGGCCAAAATTATTTCGCTTCGTGGCACCCATGTGGGAAATACTTGGTTTGGGGTTTATTTGAAAGGCACATAGGTACATCACTACCAAAAAAAGTTCCCAAGCAATCCCGAGAAAATGGGTGATCAATGATTATCCTCTATTAAATTGTATTACAGCAAAAAATGGGAAATTCTGTATTCAATTACAATAAAAATGACTTGCATCATCGGAAAACGTACAAAAAACCGCATATAGGACTTTTTTTTTGATTTTCCAAATAGTCTTTGAGTTATTGCTGTTTTAAATATGAAAATTGGCCCAAAATGTCGCAATAAGGACTGGGTACTAGGTCAAAAACGCGTTCTTGACAGCGTATAACTCGAAAACAATTATAGATATAAAAAAACTGTTTAAATGTCTTATATGTAGGTTTTTGTAAGCTTCTGATAATGCAAGTCATTTTTGTTGTAATTGAATACAAAATTTTACATTTTTTTGCTGTAATACAATTTAATAGAGGATAATCACTGATCACCCATTTTCTCGGTCTTGGGCAGGTTTTTTGCTTGGGAACTTTTTGTGGTAATTAAGCACCTATGGTTCTATGAATTGAACCACAGAAAATCTATTTCCCAGGAGGGTGCCACGAAATTGCTTTTCTAGGCACTTTTTTGCACAACAGCCCACGGCCTAGATAGCGCTATCCCGCCTTCGTACAACCGGCCCCTGTAGTCGCATTTTCCGAACCCGAATGTTATTGTGACACTGTGTTAGTTCAGCACAAATGAACTCATGCACTCAGCACAAACTCGTGCACTGACAAATTCCACCATTTTGTTTCAAGTCAATGTGTTGCCTCCTCTTTATTAAGCCTTTTCTGGTCTAAGAGGATCTGGGTATACTACTGTACTAAAAGAACCAATGCTCAAAACGCTAATTGTTTAATACTTATTCATGCAGGTACGATATGGACCGTTTTGGAGTCGTTTTCAGAGCCAGCCCGGTAAATGTTTCTAAATATTTTTTATTATGGTATATGTACTGATTTCATTATGTGCTTGACAACATAAGGTTTTCAAAATATTCCGCCGGAACTCCGGCGTGTGCCACGAGGTTTACTGCGCTATTACTTTGCTTACTTGAAATTTCAATTCTGGTCTCCTTTCTCCATTCTCAGCTTATTTTTCCTCAACCTTGTCTACTATATAGCCTGGTTTATAGTACTTTATTTTCGTACTTTTTCGTAAACGGATTTAGTTATTTGCCGTCTTAAATCTTGCTGAAGAATCAAAGTTGTGATACATTTTAATTTGGCTATACACTTGTCTTATGTCTAGTTAATTTGGATGATTTAGACCGTCTCCCCACAGCTGCCTTCTTTATCAATACCCCTGCCCACCTATAATAATTCCTGCAACGTTCCTTTTTCGTGACCTCATCGGAACAAATATATCGTTTCACAAATATTAACTTTAGTTGTTCCATCTTGCGTGTTTCCTTGGTTTTAGCGTCAGTCAGATGTGATGATCGTTGCTGGGACATTGACGAATAAGATGGCGCCTGCACTTAGAAAGGTAGGACAATGCCTTTGACTATTGTAAACAAAGAATGTTCAACACAGACTTAGAGCCACGACATTTTTAGGAAATTACAACTACTAGAGCAAAGTCTTAACGCGGGCCTGTGACCCCATCCATTTAAGGTGATTCATCAGTTTTGCATTGTACACTTTTACTGCATCATGCGTATATCTAATAACAAATTCTGGCTAATATTAGCCTGCGTAGCAGGCGTTTAGTGCGGGAGGGAGAAGGGAGGGCCTGAGTTCCCGCCCGTCAGCTAAACGCCTGCTACGCAGGCTAGGCTAATATATGTAGTCGAACTGCAATGTGATAAAGTAAGAGTAAGATGTCCTCAATTGCGGTCGGATAAAAACTGCAATGGCCAAATGATAAAATAGGGCCCAGCTTACCTGACAATCTCGCTTCACTACTGGGGCAAGCAAAAGGCGTACTGGGGCAAGGTTTCTCAGTAGTTATATAGTTATAAACTTCTTACTTAAAGATATCCTCGTCCCTAGGGCCTCTTGGCCGCGCGCGTCCTCCCTCTGCCCTGAGACACACGAAACCGGAAGTGTAAGAAAACTTGCAGTAGTTTCTAAAGCATGCTCTTGAATTGGGACGATTTAGCAGCCGTAACAATTTTCACAGAGAAGTATTACGAAGACCGGCGAAGTATTTGTGTTGAAATACGTTGATAGAATAATTAGCGAAAACTGCTTAACTTTTGCGAAATAGCGGTTCTCTGAGAAGCCAATCAGATCTCTCCTTTTAGTCGTCTAACCCAGAGCCTAATTTTCAACGAGTGACCGAGTGAAAGTGGCTCTGGGGACGAGAATAGCTCAAGGCACGAGCCTTAAGCTTCGTTGTGCCTACCCAAGCAACCAATTTTAAGGTGCGCTGGTCGACAGTGTGACTGCATGTGTTTCTGAATAAGCTGAATATGCAAAATTTCAAATCCAAATTAAAAATGTGGAGTTACCAAGGTGCAATAAATTGCGTACACACGTATAATAAGATACATATGTATACTCATCTCGTCCCCCCCCCCCCCCCGTTTGTCTAAAGTTCAAACTGAGAATTACGGTCTTTAGCCACTCGGTGAAAAACAGTGGCGAATTTTACGAAATATTTGGCAGACTGAGAGAGTGGTGATCTGGTATAAGTAACCCTCACTGCACAATTACCTTTCATGATCTCCTAATACGGCCATCATTTCTAATTAAAAAAAATCCATATCAGTCGAGTAATCTAATTGTCAAATAGTGTGCAATAGTGTATAAATGTATATAGACTATAAAATGTTGCATGCCAAATGCATTATTAGCCAATATCAGACACCTGGTTTTCCCATGTCCCCAAACACCTATGGTAGGATGGTATAGTGCATCTTAATGGTGCATGCCATTTTTTTGTATCTGTAAGTTTACCTAATTAGAATCAGATCACTGATGCATGTTATCATTTTGATACAGGATATCAAACTTTAATTTAATCAAGTCTCAGGACTGAATCAAAATTAATTATGGTTTTCAAAACCTCGAGGTGACTGGACCAAATTTCAAGTCACCTTGCAGTTACTGTAGGTCCAGTAGCCTGGCATCGCAGCATTGAATTCCAAACGATACTTTATCCAGTCCTATAGTTTTCAGATTAGTACATCACATACAGAAACCCATGAGATAACCTTATATAGTGGTTTCATTTCAGATAATAACCTTATAGTGTTTTCATTAACTATAAGGACGTCAAACTATTCTCCTTTCTCTGGTACGTGCCAGCTAGTGTAGGAGGCAAGAAATGGAAATTCCAGGCTTTTCATATTATTATTATTATTATTAGGATTTTATTTAAAAACACGGAATACAATTCACATAGTGTGCTCTTCCCTGGAGCCGTGCAAAACTACCAAATATATGTAGATAACTATAGCTATAATAAAAACAATATATTATAAGTAAGTAGCTTATAATTAGATTAATACAATTAAATATATACAATTAAAGAAGTAATTTATAAACTAAGCTATATGAGACTTATATTCAGCAATTGATTTAGCATTAATCGCTTCCACAGGCAAGCTATTCCACAGAACAGTTCCCCGATAAGTAAAGCTTTTTTTGAGAGCCTCAGTCTGAGGTCTAGGGACGAATTGTTTAGAACTAGAGCCTCGTAAATTATGGTTGTGAACCAGATTAACGGACGCGAATTTATCCGAAAGATAATATGGAACCATCTTATTCATTGTTTTAAACATAAGCGTTTTAAATTGCTGAGATCGTCCTTCTAGCTAGATTTGACCAATTTAATTCACTTAGAACCTCGTGTGAGCGGACACTATAGTGAGAACCATTAATAATACGAGCGGCTCTGTTTTGCAATTGTTGGAGTTTTTGTGCCAGACCCTTACCCAAACTTACCCCAAACACTACTGCAATAATCAAAATGTGGTTGAATCAAGGATTTGTAGATTAAAATTAGGATACGACGCGGAAGATATGATTTTAATCGCCTTAAAACTCCAATTATTTTGGTAATTTTTGAGGTAATTTGAGCAATATGTGATACAATTACACTTGAAAGATTAGACGGACAAATCAAAACAACAGGTTAAATTTTACAACCGGTCCCGGGTTAAACCTTCAAAGTACGATTAGCACCAATCCTGGATTAAAATCTAACCTGGAGTTTTGATTTGTGTATTTGCACAAGTATTCACATTTCCAAACTTCAGAAAATAAAACTTCTAGTGATGGAGAAAAAATGTTAAGAATATATGGAATTTCAGTTTTCTTAACGCAGGATTACTCTAACTATATAACCAGCTTTCGAACAACCATCCCTATAGCTATAGAGGCTAGACGAAAGGATCGTGGTTGAAACGTCGAAGGTAGGTAGTTTCATCATACATGCACATACCGAAACTTATCTGAGATAAAACCCGTTAATTGTTTTTTTTTTTATTATAGAAAGTTAATTTGCAAAGAACATCAAACTATTTTCCCTTCTTTATATTTGTATACCAATTAACTGAACAAAATATTTGAGGAATCACTGAAAACAGCATGGTTTCTGCTGAGGGTTGGAGAACATTCTGGATATTTCTAACATGTAGACAACGCTTGGATCGGGAACAACAGCATTTTATTACTGCATCAGGCACTAATTGATTTAGTAATCTTCAAGGCTAACGCCGAATAACGTAATAGAAGTTCTGTTTTCAAGATTTTTCATGAAGACAAACCACCTAATTCACAACAACTGCCTACGCGCCTTTGTTTCCAAAGAACACTTATACGTGTATTTGCAAAAGTATTCACATTTCCAAACTTCAGAAAATAAAACTTCTATATTGATGCAGAAAAAATTCTAGAATATATGGAATTTCAGTTTTCTTAACGCAGGATCATGCACATACAGAAACTTATCAGATAAAACCCGTTATTGTTTTTTTATTAAAGACAGTTAATTTGCAAAGAACGTCAAACTATTTTCCCTTCTTTATATTTGTATACCAATTAACTGAACGAAATATTCGAGGAATCACTGAAAACAGCATGGTTTCTGTCGAGGGTTAATTGGAGAATATTCTGGATGTTTCTAACATACAACGCTTGGATCGGGAGCAAAAGCACTTTATAACTGCATCAGGCATTAATTGATTTAGTAATCTTCAAGGTTAACGAATAACGTAAGAAAATTTCTGTTTTCAAGATTTTTCATGAAGACAAACCACCTAATTCACAACAACTGCCTACGCGCCTCTGTTTCCAAAGAACACTTCAATGATTTCACACGAAAATAACATCGTAAATTGAAATGGTGACAAAAATTGGTTGAGCTACTCGCCGTATATCAGCTCATATAGCGAGTAGCGAAAAACAAGATGGTAGCACATATAAATTACAAGAGTTTTGTGAAGCATGCAGTGAAAAGAAAATATTCGCTTTATATCACTTCATCTTCGAATTTTAAAACAAAACATTTCAAATTTGGAGACTCAGTTAAATAACGACGCGGATTTTGGCCTTAAAACAGTCAAAATATTGCAAGAGAGAAGAGTATATTTATTGCTGCAGTTAATCAATACCTAATTTGCTCTCGTCATGGCATAATTGTTGAATATATATACATGACATACATGGTTTGTGATTTGTATGGTCTCTCGCGCTCCGAAGATATTTTGGTCACTTCGCGATCCGAAGATATTTTGACAAACTTCAACTCATCTCATTAGAAATATTGACTGTTTGACTGATCGAATTCCAAAGAATACCTAGTCCTATAGTTTTCAGATCAGTGCATCATACACAGAAACCCATCAGATAATAACCTTATTGTTTTCATTAAGTAAGAGTTAATTGCTATATACAAGGACGTCAAACTCTTCTCCTTTCTCTGGTACGTGCTAGCTATAATCATGCTTTTTTTAGCAAGCTTATCTCCTTCCAAAAGGTACTGCAGTATATTGTTATAATTACCAGGGCGTCGGAGTGCCTCTAAAGGCTCTAATCTGATACACTACAGACATATCATAGGCAGCCCAATGTTATGGTTGCCTGCCTGCGCGCGGGCGAGGCATTGTATAGTTGTATTACAATGCCTCGCCCGCGCGCAGGCAGGCAACCATAACATTGGGCTGCCTATGGATATATCAGATACAACACGGCTGCTCATGTTGTAAATAGTACGTAAATATGGTATACCCTCTATAATGAATCTCTCCATCATGAGGTTGCCGCTGTTAAAGAGTATAAAAGATGAAAATGAGGCATATTGCTCCTTAGTGGATGGGCTTTTTACAGACGAACTTTACAAACGCAAACTTATATACTTCTCTAGACCTTATAACCAAGAACAGTTGCACAACATGTAACTACCGGTATAGACCCTCGAACCTGTGGCCCACAACTCAAGCACTGACTCCAACCAACTGAGCTCCAACCCAAAAATCTCCATACCATTAATGCAAGACATCCCTGCACAAATATAGAAAATACATACTGTATATATCTGATCTGTACAAATTTGTGAAGCATCTATTAATTAATTACCTTATACGTTGCTGCATTTTAATTTTGCAGCATTTTGCCAATTTTGTGTTGTCGTGACATCCACTTTAGAAAAGTTCAGTCAACTGATGGCGATAACAGGTAATTTAGAGTTTATGCATATACAGTAGTTTATACATGATTTATACAACTATATAGTCACCCAAACAAAATGTGCATGAGACAAATGTTGATATTGATCTCGAAAAAGTAACAACAACTTGCTTATAATAAACTATATGTCTATAATGTTGCAAATAAATTGTTGGACTGAGTTTAGATTTCAGATAGAATCGAGAACGACTCCTGTTTTTTGATTTTATCGATATGTAAAAGCTCTCAATTTAATTATTTTGAAACTATATTTTCATGAAAATTTCATTTTCACTTTTTCTACCGTAAATATAAGTATACTATGGCTATGCAGTTCTTGAATTTAATCATAATTTTCTGACTTGCATCGCATTTGTAGTGATTGTACTTTCAACGTTTTGATTTTGTGTATTAAACAGTCGTTATTTTTCCAAGTAGTGTTAATTACTAGTAATTGTACTATATTTCTGAGAAGAAAGCTTTTGAGTTGTGTATAGCTACATTTAGTATACATATCACAAGTTACAGTATGTTCTTTATTACCATAATATTGTATTCTTCACGTATATCTGTGCAGTTGTAATTGATTGCTTAGTTAGGTTCCACCTGTATATAGTCAAGTACATACATGTACAGTATTAGAAAAATTCTACCGAAACCTATTTGTAAGTAAAGTTACTAGACTAAGTTGTGGCTTGAGATAGTAGTGATATATACAAGGACGTGAAAATACGTACTTTATATGTTGTCGCTGTATATGCACAAGAGCAAAAGGAAGTTAAAAACTCTTCATTTACTTTGTATTTTATATGATAATTTTTTAAAATTTCGTGTTGATGTTGTGATCCGAAGATATTTTGACATGCAAACTTCAAAATCTCATCTCATTAGAAATCTTCCAAAATTGACTCGTCGAATTCCAAAGGTTACTCTAATCCAGTCCTATAGTTTTCATATCAGTGCATCATACACAGAAGTCCATCAGATAATCCCCTTATTGTTTTCATTAATTAAGTAAGAGTTAATGAGCCATTCCGAAGTTGATGAGTGGACTGGGGACGAGTGTTAAAAAGTGCCCAAATTAAGAATTGAACCAAATCACTAAAAAGACCGCCTCAAAATTAGTAAGTACAGTATCGGCAAAGTTCGAAGACGTTTACAATAATATCCTTCGAATAATAAGCTTTTGAAAATTGTGAAATTACTGATTAAAAGATTGTTTTTGGGACGCGCGTCCCAAAAACAAGAAATTACAATACATTTCATAGTAAATATCGCGATTTTCGAAAGCTTATTATTCGAAGGATATTCATGTAAACGTCTTCAAACTTTGTATACTTACTAATTTTGAGGTGGTCTTTTTAATTTGGGCACTTTTTAACACTCGTCCCCAGTCTTCTCATTAACTTCGGAATGGCTAATTACTATAAGGACGTCAAACTGTTCTCCTTTCTCTGCTACGTGCCAGCTATATTCTGTAGGTGGCAAGAAATGCAAATTTCGGGCTTCTCTGTATGATGCAACTACTTGAAAAATAAAACAAACTTATAGACGTACAAACCAAAACAGCATGCATGCAGGTTAAATTTTAACCTACAGTTAGCGCTAAGCAAGCTATGAGCAACCGGCCCCAGGGATAAACCTTCAAACCACGATTATAGCACTAACCCTTCAAACATCGAAGCCGAAAGTTGTTCCACTGTTCGGGTAGTTGCGTCATACATGCACAGAAACCCATCACTCATCAGATAAAAACCTTACTGTTATTTCAGTTGAGGAAAGTTAATTTGCTAAGGACGTCAAACTGTTTTCCCTTCTTTATATTTGTATACCAATTAACTGAACGAAGTATTCGAGGAACCAAAAACAGCATGGTTTCTGTTGAGTGTTGGAGAATATTTTGTCTGTCCGAAATATACAACGCTTGCATGGAGCAAAAGCATTTTGTCACTAGCTATACATCAGGCATTTGATTTATTAATGTTCAAGGCTAACGAGTAACGTAAGGAACGTTTTGTTTTTAAGATTTTTCACGAAGACAAAAGAACAACTGCCCACGCGCCTTTGTTTCCAAAGAACACTTCAATGATTTTAGACGAAAACAACATCATAAATTGAAATTGTATGGTGACAAAAATTGGTTGAGCTACTCGCCGCATATCAGTTCATATAGCGAGCAGCGAAAAACAAAACGGCAGCACATAAACTGCAAGAGTTTTGTGAAGCAGAGAAAAGAAAATATTTGCTTTATTTCACTTCGAGTTTTAAAACAAAACATTTCAAACGACGCGGATTGTGTGGCCATTGCAACAAAGAAGAGTATATTTATTGCTGCACTCCTGCCGTTTATTAATAATCAATGACAATGTATATTAAATATAAGTCGGTATCGCGGGGTGAAAACACTTTTTCTATAGTCCGGGCTTTATCTTGATCATGCCTTTAAGAGACATGCATAATGAAACTTATATCAAGACTTCGTATCTCTTCTAGTTATACTTCATGTATAGGAACCTAAATAGCGTAATTTTTAGCACAATAAAGACATCACAGTATATTACAAGATCGCGTATTGTTATCTTCATCCACCTGCAAAGTGGGGTGGTATGCAATATTAAAACCGTCGAGCAGTTGTTTCACATCGAAATTTCTCTGTTTGACCCCAGACGAACCTGCAGTCATCCACTCTTTAACTACCTTTCTTACGCAATGCTCTGACAATTCATTCATCCATTTAAGACCATCATGGAAAGGACTGCCCTTTGGGTTGTTAAAGACGCCTGAATTAAATTTAATCTTTCCGTCTTGTATTGCAAAACCTTCGCCAACGACGCTCTCCGTCTTAGATTCACCGAAGGCATTTCTATAGACAGCTCCGTGAACTTGACCAAGCTCTTCACTCTTCAATTTCTCAACATTTTCTGAACCTGTGTCTTGAATGACGATATAGCCAGGCTTACAGTGAGTGTTGTTAGCAGTTCTCCATTCCGACTTGCCGTTGTATTGATAAATAATGATTCCACCATAGTTGTGATCTTCTTGATATGTGTCAGATTTGCACGAGATATGCATGGTTTCGACAGTGATATCTGGTTTAAACCATGACTTACGCTTTATCGTTATTCTGTCCATTGCTGACGATGCCGCAACAAATTTACCACCAAAAAACCCTTCCGATGCCATCCCAGGTGAAACAACATAACCTGTAATTGAGTCATATACAAATTTAGTTACCGACAGTTCAAATACGAAAAATTTCTGCTTTCTATGCATGATACTGCACGTTTGTATTCATTATATTTTGGTGATAGCCATTACTTGCATGCAGACCACATAATATACATAACTGCATGTGGGGCAAACTTTAAACTGAGCGATCATCAGCGAATATAAGATTATCAACGAATATAAGATTATCAACGAATATAGATTCTCTCATCAAATCAAATATTTTACAAAAGGACTCTTATACACTAGCTTATAGGTTTGATGGTTGGAAACTTGAAAACATTCGACCATTAAACTGTTTCTCAGCGCGTGGTTTCGCATTACATTACGATTCAATTTTTCTAATGTAAATATCTCGGCGAGTATTTACCCCCCTTTAAAATAAAACCCACCATTGAAATCGTCATAAAATAACCTTTCGAACGGGGGGTCAAGTGCCGTCAAAACATTACACAAACCGAAACAATCATATATTTATACTTCACCGCTTGGCCAAACATTAAAACGGGAAAAGAGAAAAAGTTGAATATTTTCTAAACCTTTCGTCATTTTCTGAAAGGCTATATGAGTAAAATACTCTTTGTATTCAAGCGCATTCGTGTAGAAAGTTTCGTATGAATACGGCGAGTAGAAATATTTATTTTGAATTTTTCAAAGTACGTATCGGGTTTTACTCGCACGCGCGTGTATTACGCAATACTTGGCCAATAAGGAGCTCTTTAGCCGGGATGACGTCAGTCACGCGTATAGGTGCACTTTGACCTGTAGAACCATTTCTGGCATTTCCAGAGACACGCGATACAAACGTGGCATTGTTTTGACGATATTTAGTCGTATTTCCGGTTGGGATTATCGCAAATTCAGGCCAGAAATGTAAAATTCGGCACTAAAAGTCACACTTTAAAGATAGAAGCTTGAAAATAACACTATACATGGTATTTTCAATGCTTAATTCCTCAAGAATATCAAAATGAGCATACGTCTCAAGGGGCCGAAGTTATGTTCGGCGAAAGGTATGTTTATGTTTTTATAATTTGTTGGTAATAAATTATGCGTAATTTGATCATATACGATCTCGCTTTACTTTCAAAGCTCATAAATCGCTATAATGTTGCCATTGACTAAAACTATCGTTACGAATGAAGAGATTTCGTTACACTGAATCGAATGGTGGTATTTTTGTCCACATAGCATTCAACGCTGAGAAACAGTTAATCCCTGGAAAATGTGTTAGAATAATTCCAGGCTAAATTGCAGAATACCCGTCATGTAGCCACTATTTCACTGGATACGCGGATACGCGGTCAGTACTCAGTTATAGTATAATATTTCAGATAGATCAAATTCTCATGTTACAGGTAGCTATATATTTCAGTGGATACGTGGATACTTTTATATAGTTAAGCGATCAAAAATGGTCAGCGGATAACTGGTTGACTGTGTATCCACGTATCCGCGTATCCACTAAAATATACAACCTCGTACCCAGGGCTAGTCGCGAATTGAAGGCGGCGACATAGCCCTGGTAAACGCTGGTCACGTGACTCCAACATTACATAATTGTTACTTTTCTCAACCGGGGGGTGAATAGGTGAAACTCGAAGACAAACAGTTTTTATCTCCGAAATTCTTCAATCTTCCTTGTGAATTTTGCACTTCAAGCTTTTCTCAAAGTACGGCGATCGATCAAATGGATCAATACTTTCTGTAGAAAAAACTCAGTGAGATTTGTTCCAATGAGACGTTTAAAAGACTTGGATATGTCGCCAAAGACGCTCGATCATTATTTGCACAGGTTTATGGAATAGTACTTTGTTCAGTTTGTTGCGACTTGCGAAGCAAATGAATGCAAATTCAACTCTTGTATAATGACTAAAAGTTGGTTTGTAGAGGGACAACTTATACAAAAGATATGAATACATTAGCTTCAAACTTGGGACAAGTTCATGGACAATGGACATCCCTATATGGACATTGACATTTCACCAATATGTAAATATGACTATTAAATATATAAAAGGATTGCTGTTGTATTACTTGTATATGTATATGTACAAGTGTTGTGCTGTGGTATTTACGTTTTTAACCCTTTAAGTGGCAATGGGCCATCCATTTGATATACACCCCCCCCCACCCCCCCTATGGACTAGAATTTCTGAGGGGATTGAAAAAGCCATTTCTGAGGGGTTGTGTGCATCAGCATCCTTTGATCTTTGCATTTTTTCTGAGGGATAAGGCAAAAATTTCTTAATTTCTGGGGGGGGGTGTTGGTGTCGGCACTTTGATTTTTTTCTTCTTAGGGGTTCAAATTTTATTGAACTCGTCCATAGGGGGGTGTATACATTAAATGGAATGGCCCAATGCACCCTACTTCGTTAGTTTACTCTGCCTAACACCAGACAATTTTACTCGTCAGGTGGAGAGTGCATGGCACCACTCAATGGGTTAACATAGTCGATGAACATGCCAAATGATCCTTGACCGTGGTAGTGCATTTTTGCACTTGCTGGATGATATCGCAAACAAGCATTGTTTCAGAGGAAGAGCACTGAGATCATGCTGTGTAGCAATTGGAATCTCGCACAGAGTCTGCTCTCACATAAAGCAGGCAAGACCTTCACTCAGAAGCCAGTCCTGATTAATATTAATTCCCCACATAAACACTTGGAAACCAGACTGTCCCATCTGCCATATATGCAGGATAAAAAAACATGCAGCCTGGACTTTAACTGTTAAACAACCAAATCAGCATGATAAACAGTGTGATGATTCTTGCTTAGCCCAAACCAAAGCCAGTTTTCTAGAATTAATTTGCAGAATCCTAAGAATTGGACCTCCAACTTGAAGAGCTAGCTGTGCTAACCAAGTTGCATGGGCAACCCTGAATTGACGTGACTAGAGCAAACCTTCAAAAATAATAGAGAGATCAGATTTGACTTCCACTACTGCTATTGCTATCATTAACTATTAACCAGATAAGTTTCATTTATCCAATCAAACAATCAGATGCAACTGCCAGATCAAGTAGTGGTAGTGGAAGTCAAATTTGAACCTTTCTATATGGATTTCAGAGAGACCAGTCATTATTTGCTGATATATTATTATAACTTGTTTAATCAAAAGCTACTATATATTCATTTATGATATTAAAAATTGATATAATTTTATCTATAAAGTGAGAATAATTTTAAAAAAATATTCATAACATAAAATGATTCATGCATGCTGGTGATTGAATAAACCATGAAGTGTGCATTCTGAATCTCTACAAGTTCCTTGACATTGTTTTTCCAGTACAGTGTAAAACTATATAAATAAATGTGACACAGGTTGCAGGTATTAGGTTGCATGTCCACCAGTGTGCTGAAATACCATCCAGTGACCCGGTCTTGTTCATTGTTACTTGCATCTTGATTAATTCAACTGTTTTTGCCCCATTTCTTGTACCCATAAAGTTCTTTTCAATAATCTAGAAAACTTCAAAATCATTCAGTAAATTTAATTTTAAAATTGGGTGAAAGGTAAGGGGTCAATAATAGATGAAGAAATCATTTCTTATTGTTCATACATATGGCCCCCATCTCTGTCAGGTATTAGAGTAGAAATTTATTGAAGTCTGAAGTCAGAAAATAAATATGGCAACAAGGTTACACGTCATACTGCAGAGTTAGGCATTTTTTTTAAAGATCTCAAGGGCACAAAAGGTATAAATATAGATTATAGGGGCAAGGGAACAAAATAATGAAATTTTGAGATTTGGAGGCAGGTTTTACAATGGGGTGCTAAAACTTTTCCCTAAAAAATCCCTGATCAGCTGGAGTGCTGAAACTGATGTTTGACTATTGAAATATCCTAGCAGGTTAGGTTCATCAGATTTTAGCTTTGTTAACCTGGCCACTCTGTTATTACAGGTCATTACTGTAAATGTAAATACAAAGTATTTGAAGTTAATACTGCTGTAAAATGTAGTTTAATAATACTGTATTAAAGTGTAAACACGTTTCTCACAGCGATAAATCAATATTGTAAATAATAATCATGTGAGAGTAGAACTTTACTGAGAGTCCGAGTATAGTATTATAGGCCATAGTCTGGCCATGTGTTTCTCAATATTCACAATATTTAACTACAATTGTACAAATTCAGCTAACTATATTAACATACTGTATAAAATATATTACAGTAAATAGCCTTCAAAATATATATTTCATAGAGCTAGACAATGTAACAAATAATGGGAATCTGCTAAATAATTTGTAACAATGAAATACTTCTAAATATTTTCAAATTCATATACAGTATACTGTACCTTTTTATACTTGATGGAAATCATCACAAATAGTAGGTACGAGATTGGCTCCATTTTCACTGCTTCGAAATTCGAAACATCGCCTCCTCGGCGATTTACATAAAAGAAGATGTACATTCGACGTAATATATAAACGTAACATATTAAGAAGAAAGATTACAACAAAAAATAAAAGAATATAAATAATCCGCGGCAATTCAAGATCCATTCGTGAACTTTTCGTCGCCCCCCTGTCTTCATTTCCACAAAGCCCGCTCGCAGGCTAATACTCCAAGAATCTTGGAGTATTTGCCTGACACGTGACCAGCGTTTACCAGGGCTATGTCGGGTGAAGGCTATTTCAGATACGGTAGAGCACCTAGTCCCCAGGCCTTTACCAGCGCGACCGCGAAATTCAATATGGCGCCAAGCTAAGGAGTGGAGTTTAAATGGAGTTTATATTCTATAATTTCTATTGTTGTTTTTTGATCTTTTTATTCTTTTTGGTTGGTAGAACTTATATTCTGATATGCCAGGTATCTTACTCTTTACCTGATTAATCTGAAAAAAGATTTTATAAATGAATTTTTCTCAAACATAGTTTAAATTAATATATCTATATGTTTCAGTGAATTATGCTTTAAAAGTAAAAAATAGATTGGCCAAGATAAGAAATTTTTGACACTTTCAACTTCAATTTTGAAAATTGTAATAACAACCTAGTTTATATTCCATAATCCACAGAGCTTGAAAATCC